CATTAACATGGGGTAAAGTCTAGGGTACGGATCTCTCTGTGTAAGCAGTAAAAATTTGCTCGCAGGCCAATTGCATGTGTGATAAATGTGGTTCTACAGCTCTTGTCAAGACCTTTATGACGCAGTTGCTGCAGAGGAGCTTGAGTCACGTGTGGAGTGGGGGAGCCTTTTTGTAGGGTGTGTCTCAAAGGCCTGAAAACAGTGGATGGTGCAGACAGTCAAAGGAGGAAAACATCATGATTGCTGACAGTAGTAAGAGCAACTCTATGTTCTTGTAAGTGAATATTAACAGGTTTTACCAAAAATAACTAATACGAGGGGTAGTAAGAAAAAACATCTCCTATAACCTAACAGACTCAGGCTCCACTTCCATGAAATCTGATATAGCGCCTTACATATATGCTCAGAAATTATTCTTGGGTAAGCGTGCAGTTAACCTTTTACTCCACATCTCCCAAAGTTATTCAACAGTAGCTCTTTCACCATGAATACTTAACAATGAGCATGTAACAAACCACCAACACTTGACCAAGACCACTTATCAAACCACGAGCATGTAATAAACTATGGACACCTAGCCAGCAGCACTTACGAAAACATGGACACGAGAAGATCAACAGGTAACCAGGACACATAACTATGAACACTTAACAAATCACGGACACTTAACCACGGACGCCTAACAAAGAGCACTTGAGAAACCACAGACACCAAACCATGAACACATAACTCAGTACCCTCACTCCAACTCCAGCTACCCCCAGGCCTAGTTTGATTGAGGCATCAATCTCTGACAGCATTCTCAGCTCTCACGGAGGAGGTATAGGTGGGAAATGCTCCCTTATTATTGTCTGAGAAGATGATGGTTGTGGTGGGGTGGAATGGCAACTTTTCCGCAAACAAGAACATTTCTAGAATTGCATCAGAAATTGGAAGTACATCCCCATTATAAAAGAAATAGACTTCTGTACTAGGAAATCCAGTTCCTTTGTAGTATTGTGGTCTGCTGGATTAATGGCAAATTGGTTTATTTCCCCTGTTATTTCTAATTCTTTTCTCAAAGGATCATCCTCGTTCTGCAGGTGATCACCATCAGTAACAAGAAGCTTCATTATGATAGTCTTCTGAGAGTCTAAACAGAAATTTTTGTTCTCTTTCTCAAGAGCTTCTTTTTCAAAGAGAAGATCGTCATTCATTATCTGTAGCAGAAAGATTTCCTCAGCTTATAATTCACATTGATCTTGGAGCTCTAAATATTTCTGTAAAACAAAGACTATTTCCTCCATCAAGTATCTCTTTCTTATGTCAATTGCATAAGAACACTGGCTGTCTTTGCCAGGAGTTTTTGGAAGTCTTCTTTAAAAGGCATTTTATACATATATTAGAATCAAAAGGGTAGCTAGGGAAAGACTAGGCCCACTCAAGGCTAAAGGAGGGAGTGAAGCCACAGGAAATGGGTGAAATCCTTAATGAATACTTTACATTAGTATTCACCAAACAGAGGGCATGAGGGATGCTGAGGTTAGGGACAAGTGTGTGAATACACTCAGGCAGGTCAACATAATGAAGGAGGAAGTTTTGGGTGTATTGAAATGTAATAAGGTAGACAAGTCCCCAGGGCCAGATGGGATCTATCCCAGGATCGTTGTGGGAGGCAAGGGAGGAAATAGCTGGGGACTTAACAGATATCTTTGCATCCCCTTTGACCTCAGGCGAGGTTCCAGAGGACTAGACAATGGCTACTGTTGTTCCTTTGTTTAACAAGGGAAACAGATAATCCAGGTAACTACAAGCCAGTGAGCCTGACCTCAGTGACGGGGAAGCTGTTACAGAAGATACTGAGAGACAGGATTTATTCATTTGGAAGCAAGTGGATTTGTTAGTGATTGGCAGCATGGGTTTGTATGGGGAAGATTATGTCTCACCAACTTGATTGAGTTTTTTTGAGGAGGTGACAAGGATGATTGAAGAGGGAAGGGCAGTGGATGTTGTCTACATGGACTTTAGTAAGACATTTGATAAGGCACTTCAAGACAGGCTGGTACAAAAGGTAGAGTCTCATGGGATCCAGGATGTGCTGGCTAGATGGATACAGAACCAGCTTGATCATAAAAGACAGAGCAGCAGTGGAAGATGCTTTTTGGAATGGAGATCAGTAACTAGTGGGATCAATGCTGGGACCTTTGCGGTTTGTAATATATAAAAATGACCCGGAGGAAAACATAGGTGGTCTGATTAGTAAGTTTGTGGATGGCACCAAAATTGGCACAGTTGCAGTAAGTGAGGAGGATTGTCAAATGATACAGAGGGATATAGATAGATAGCAGATTTGGGTAGAGAAATGGCAGATGGAGGTTAATCTGAACTAATGAGAGGTGATGCATTTTGGGTGATCAAATTCAGGTGCAAATTATACAATAAATGGCACAGCCTGTAGAAGCATTGACATACAAAGGAATCTGGGTGTACAGGTCCACTGATCCTTGAATGTGGCACCACAGGTGGATAAGGTGGTCAAGAAGACATACTGCACGCTTGCCTTCATTGGCCAGGGCATCGAATATAAAAGTTACGCTTCAGCTGTATAAAATGTTAGTTAGGCCACATTTGGAATATTGCATGCAGTTCTCGTTGGCATACTACTAGAAGGCCATGGATGCTTTGGAGAGAGTGCAGAGAAGGTCTACCAGGATGTTGCCTGGACTGGAGGGCTTTAGGTACGAGGAGAGGTCAGTTAAACTCGGATTGTTTTCATGGGAAAGGCGGAAGCTGGGGGACGACCCGATGTAGGTCCACAAAATTAAGAGACACACAGATAGGGTGGATAGTCAGGGTTTTTTTTTTCCCAGGGTGAAAAGGTCAACTAAAAGAGGCCACAGGTTCAAGATGAGACAGGGTCAGTTTAGAGGAGAAGTGCGGAGAAAATGTTTCACACAGAGGGTGGTGGGTGCCTAGAATGCACTGCCATTGGAGGTGGTAGAAGCAGGCACGTTAGCAACGTTCAGTCATATCCTGTTAGACACACGAACAGAAGGCGAACAGAGGGACAGAAACCTCACATGGGCAGTAAGTAGCAGATCTAAACAAGGATTAGGAATCGGCATAGGCTTGATCAGTCAAAGGGCCTGTTCCTATGCTGTGTTTTTCTTTGTTCTGTAACATTTTCCTTCTCAGCCTCTGAGAGTTGATAGCATTGTGTAACTGCCAACAGCTGGATCATCAGGTCAGCAGTCTCTTTCAGATAGTTAGACTGCTCTAAATTCTATTTGACTTTGAACTGTTTGGGCTCGTTTTGATGCTTGGCTTTAAGCTTCTCAACACTAGAAGCTCTATAGTTTGGGCCCCTTTTAAGCATGATTGAAGATCCCCTTCTAACTCCATAATTCAAAACACCTCAGATGTTGTTGTCACTTCACTAACCGTAGAAACATTTGAAGACTTGTTTCTATTCATTTGTGTTTGAGCTACAATCAGCACTTATTCAGCTGCTAGCTCTTGAAGTGTCAGGGATGTACCATTTGTGCCTATTTAGTGTACCCAACTGCAACACTAGCTGGTCCTTTACCTTCAGCTGTGCTGTCTGCAACTTTGTGAAGGACATATTCATGTTTAGTGTATGTGCGGAGGAGCAGCTGATACTTTAGGATGCTGGTCTATTTCTGCTTCCCTGTGGTGCTCTAACCTTCAACACAAGGAGGATGCATTTATCTAACTATGATTACAGTTACTATTGCTTTTGTGATGACTTTTCTCAAAAGAGACAGTGGAGACCTCACGAACAGTGTTGCCTGAAGCTAAGAGTACAGGAAGGTGGGTTCTTTCTCTGCTCCTCAGGTCTTGAAAAAGAAAACTTAGATCTAGAATCCCTTGTTGCGGCTGGTCAACTTTGTCTCTAGCAGCTTTTCTCTCTCTGGTTTTGAGCCCATCCTTTGGAGAGAAATGAATGCTATGTGTTACCTTCTTGTAACCCTAAGGCTGTTTCTGTAGCAAAGAGTGATTCCTGGTGCATTGAGTCAACTTCAGTGTCTCTCGCATTCGCTATTGATGAATATTTAAAACTACATATGCAGCTCCACCTCATGTGGAAGCATAATGATAACGAATGCATATAAGGTTTATGGGATCTCTCTCTTCCATTGTAACGAATGTATCTGCCCTTTTATGCTAATTTTATACCTATTGTGCCTCAATTTAATGGGGTTAATGGGTCTGAGAAATCAGGGAAATTAAATGCCTCCCATACGACTGCTTTATTTCTCAAGAGGAATTCCTCTTGCTCTTCAATGTCTTCTAATGCCTGGACATTTTCAATCTTCTGTGGTCTGTTTTCCTTTTTCTGTGCTGGCAATCCAGTTCTGTTCTGGTCTCTCTCTGAGCACTCAACCCTCTGTAATTCTGAGTGGGCCTGGTGCCTGTGTGTAGGATCCCTTAATGACATCCACTGGGACTGGTATCTCTTTGCACTCTCTGTGGGTTCCTGGGTGAGCCTGCATGTCTGTTTCCGATTGCGCCCTGTTGCTATTGAGCTTCTCTTTGCCACGATGGGGCTTAGGTCATTGGGCTGGCATCAGTTTTCAGTTACAGCACTGTGCTGAAATAATTGGAAGCTGGGACAATAACAACTGTCCTCAGGGCTGAGCTCAGGAAAAAGAAAATCAGTCTGTGGTTCATTCCTGATCATTATAGAAAATGTATTTATAAAGTACTGGATAAGGAAAGATCAAGTTTGACACTGAATTGCTCTACCTCCCTTGCCGAGGCTCAGTCTACTAATGTATAATGGCAACGGGAGCTATTCGCAGCTGTTGAAACTCTAGTATGAGTCTGACGAGAAATCGGCAGGGGAAATAAGTAATTGAAGGTGAGAACATCAAGAAAAGGAATTGCATGGAAGTGACAGAAATTTGAGAGGTAACTGCATAACGAAGTGGTATTCCACATAATGTAGAGGAAACAGGATGTGCATGCACACAGAAGGGTGGTTCCATGCACTGCCTCACCTGGTAATCCGGCAGGAATCGCACACCCAGCCAAACTCCTTTTTGTTGAATTTGCTACAGCTTTTGCAGGTGTACAGACTGCAATCCAGACACTGACGCTTGCTGTTCACCAGGTACTGAAAGGGTTCCAGGCAGTGAATGCAATGACCTTCGTTAAACTTGGCTTGCTTTGTAAGAAACTTCCTCTTAGTTGTTTCTTCCTCAACCTTCGTCCTTAATTCTCTAGACAGCAGGAAGCAGGATAGAAGGAACAGGAAGAAATATAGGAAAAGAGATGAGTGAATCAAAGCGAGGGGGAAAAAAATCTACTGCAAAATTTTGCGCATGCACTGCAGTCATGTAAAATTTACATTCTCATGTTTGCCATAAAAATAACATAGTACAGATGGCAGCTAATTGCAAATTTATTTCCTCAAATTTAGGGAATGTAAAAATTATAGGAGAAAATGTAGAAATGTGTGTATTGATTGGACTGATTAGGAATTCAGATTTGAAGTCCAATAAGATTCATTGACCTCTCGAATTGATTACCTAAAGTATGCACCCAATATGTACAACTCAGTGAAAATTAGTTATAACTATCTTTATGTATGGAAGTGCAATGCATATAACAGTCTTTGCAATATGTAGATCCAGATACCCAAGCCAATAGAACAAGAAATAAGATAGAAACATCCATCTGTTCTAAGAGCTTAATTCCATGAACTCTCTACATTATAAAATATATAATATATACAATATAAAATAAAATTTACAAATTATATTATATTATACAAATGACACAACAAGTTATAAGTTATACATTTTGTGCCTAACTCCAAATGTTCTCTGTTTGGATTTATCTGACTTCAGTATCACATTTCTTTGAAACATTCCCACTTTGGTAACAGTCCTTTCATAGTCATTAAAATGTGTAATGGAAAATTTAAAATGCAAGATCATAATAGTCATAGAAATAAGATGCATTTTAAGTAATTTCATTGTTTTTTGCTTCAAAAGCCCAAATGTAATGCTGTGATAATTGCAAGATGATGCTACAGTTTAAGACTATTCATTTACAACCCAGTGTTTCCTTTCATAAAATCCATTCATGAGATGTGGGAATTGTTGGCTGGACTAGCATTTATTGCCTGTATTTAGTTGCCCTTCAGAAGAAAGTAGTGGGCTGCCTTCTTGAATTGCTGCAGTGTATTGCAGCATATTGAACAAGCACTGCAAACCTGTGTTAGAATAACCATGGGAGATTTACCAGTTGAATGCTATGACGTTTGATTTCCACTCGAAAAACACTGAGCAGCAGTCGGCCAACTACCTGCTCGAGCCTGCTCCACTGATGACCTGGATAGTCCCCCTCTGTGCTGTACAAGTTATGTGATTTTATGTATAAATTTTTTTTTGGAATTCTTTGAGGATGTAGCAGGCAACAGAGAACTTTGGATCACCCTATAGGTGTGGCATACTTGGATTTCCAAAAGGCATTTGATAAGATGTCACATCAAGTGTTTGATGTTCTAGGAAACTGTTCCGTATCTACTCAATTAACACTATTTCCAAGCTACTTTTGCTGATTTGATTCACCTAACCTACATACAGATTATAGTCAGCCATGGTTATTGTAGCACCTTCTTAACATATCCCATTTATTTATTCCTGCATGTTCTATGCTACACTGTAACTATTGTCAAGGAGCCTATAAACTATGTCCCAGCCACATCTCCACTGGGGCAGCAAAGTGGCTCAGTGGTTAGCACTGCTGCCTCACAGCGCTGAGGACCTGGGTTCAATTCTACCCTTGGGTGATTGTCTGTGTGGAGTTTGCATATTCTCCCCATGTCTGCGTGGGTATCCTCTGGGTGCTCTAGTTTCCTCCTACAGTCCAAAGATGTGCAGGTTAGGTGGATTGGCCATGCTAAATTGCCCATAGTGTTCAGGGATAGGTGGGTTACAGGGGGATGGGTCTGGGTGGGATGCTCTGAGGGTCAGTGTGGACTTGTTGGGCCAAATGGCCTGTTTCCACACTGTAGGAATTCTATGATTCACCCATATCCCTTTGCCTGTAACAGGCAGCCTGTAAAAATTTAGACACCTTCTTCAACATTCCCTCCTCCAATTCTAATAGGGTCCTGAAAATGGTAGGCTGATCAGTGCCAGTGTTTGTAGCCCCTTCCCAAAGCCTCCAATTCTGTTTGCAAATGTCCCAAAAATTTAGCCCAACAGAACTTACACAGAGGCTGATGTTTTGATCTATAAATACCGTTGAAGGGCACAGACTGGCTTTGTAGACAGTGTATAAAGCAGCTGCTGTTTTGATAAAACAGGAAAATCATGAGTGAAGAAAGCATAGCCAGTCACTGTCATGTGATATTTGCTTAGCCTCATGACTTGTATCCTAAAGACATGATTTTCTAGCTTAATTTTACCTCAAAAAACTCAAACTGAGTGTAGCAAAAATAAAATCAGGAAGTGAAATTAGTAGCATTGGAAAGATGTTGAATTAAAAGATTATCCAAGATTGCGAGGAAAGACAGTTGGTCTCCACGTGGCTGTAGTGCCCTGAGGCGAAAACTCCTTGTGGTCTGGTGTCTGAGGAAAGGGATTTATCCAACTTCAATTTTTCTTATTCGGTACATTCTTATACCTCCACATATAATTTTTTTTTTTTTTTTCATGTGCATGCTAAACAGACAGTATTAACTGTAACTTCAGGGCTAACCAATCTCATAAGCAAGGGATTGGATCAAATCTCTGAAGTCATGCCACTTCCATTCATGAATGATATTAAAATAAAAATCAGAAGCCGAGGCTCAAAAATGCCCTTATCCTTAGCGATGGCAGAGCCCAGCACGTTGGTTGAAAAGTCGAGGCTGAAACATAATCACAGATTTATTACAGCACAGGAGGCCATTTGGTCCATTATCTCTCAAACAAACATATTGACATGGCACCATTCTCCTTCCTTTTCACTATAACCATGCACATTGTTTCCTTTCAGTTAATTATGTAGTGACTATCTGAGTTGACTCTGCCTCTATACACTTCCAGACAGTACATTCCAGACCCAAAGCCCTCACATTTGCTACATTTGAAAATCATTTTAAATCAATGCTGTCCTGCTCTCGATCCTTCATGAGGGGGAATAGTTTCTCTCTATTTTCTTTGTAAAAATCACCTATGATTTTGAAAACCCCTATCAGATCACCTCTCTGCCTTCTTCTCTCCAAAGAGAACAGACCAAATTTCTCCTTTCTAACCTCATAGATTAAATTTCTCGTTTTGAGTGCTTTTTTTGCAAGTCTCTTTTGCACTTGCTCCAATGTGTTCACATCCTTCCAATGGAATGGCACATGGAATTGCATTAAAAAAAACACAAGCTGAGTTCCAACAAGTGTCTTATAGAAGTTGGGCATCAAGTCGTTGCTCTTGTACTCTGTACCACTATTAATAAAGCCCAGAATTTTGCACGCTTTATTGGTTGTTCTTTCTACCTGTCTTTCTATGTGCAGGGACACACACAGGTCCCTCTGCTCCTGCACCCCCTTAAGTATTGTATCCCTTGTCTTATATTGGCTGTCCATGTTCTTACCAAAATGCATTAACCCACACTTCTCTGCATTGATCTTCACCTGTCACCTATTTTTTTCACCTCATCAATTTGTCTGCATCTTACAGGAGTTCTACATTGTCCTCCTTATAGTTTACAATATTTAAAATTTTGTTCCATCCACAAAGTTTGAAACTGTCCCTGAACTCCAAGATCAAGATCATTAATATATATGAGGGAGAAACGGTCCCAATAATGATTCCTAGGGAACTCTACTACAAATCTTCCAGCCCAAAATTAATCATTGACCTCTACTCTCTGTTTCCGTTTGCTCAATTAAGGTTGTATTTATGTTGTAACTGTCCCTCTTAATGCATGACGTATAACATTTCTCACAAGTCTGTTATGTGGCCCTGTATCGAATGCCTTTTGAAAGTCCACGTACACTACATCAGCAGCATTATCCCCATCATCTCTTTCTGTTACCTCTTCAAAAGTATTCTTACAAATTAGTCAAACACAATTCCCCTTTAGAAATCCACACTGGCATTTCCTGATCAACACACATTTCCATGTGATAACTAATTCGATTCCAAATAATTGTTTCTCGAAACTTTGAAGATGATGGTTCATTTCAGTCTCTCATTGAAATGCTTATTAACATGGACAGCAGTGTTCAGACAATTTGACTCGCTCCATATAATATTACTGGCATCTACTTAAGAGCGTGAAAAGCTGCCCACATTATGTCTTGTATACAAAAGGGAAGGCCAATCCAATCTGGTCAAATACCACTCCATCAGTCTATTCTCAACTATCAGATGAAACGTTTCAAAAATAATGTTATCAAATGGCATTTACACAACAATAACCTGCTCACTGATGCTCAGTCTGAGTTCTGGCAGAGCCACGTAGCTTGTGGCCACTTTGTAGCCTTGCTTTCAACATGGACAAAAGAACCATATTCCAGAGGTGAAGTGACAATGACTGCCTTTAACATCAAGGTAACATGCAACCAAATGAGGCATTAATGGACAAATTGGGAGAAGAGTTTCCACTGGCTGCACTCATACCCCAGAGTTTATGGTGGCTGGAGGTGGATCATGCCAATACCAGGACATCATTGGAATAGTTTCTCAATGTAGTGTCCTAGATGCTACCATCTTTAACTGCTTCATCAATGGCCATTCATCTAACATGAGATCAGAAATGCAGATAATTGTTCGACGATTGCACATTATTCAGTTCTATTCATGGCTGCTCAGATACTGAAACACGCTATCCCAGAATGCCGCAAGAGTTAGACATAATTTGTTCTTGGGCTGATAAGTGACAAGTAACACAGAACATTAAATGCCCAGCAATGACCGTCTCCAATAAGAAAAAATTCTAACCATCTCACCTTGCCAATCAATGGTATTACCTTCACTGATTTTCCTCACCATCAATATCCCGGGATTACAATTGATTCGAAATTTAATTAGACCAATCATATAAGCACTGTGGCTCTGTGAAGTGTGCACCACATACAAGATGCACTTCAGCAGTTCACCAAGGAACGTTTGGCAGCACCTTCAAACCTATGACCTTTCTCACCTTGAGAGATAAGGGAGGCAGATGCATGGGAACACCTATAGGTTCTCCCCCAAGCCACACACCATCAGTCTTCTCAGTGACATTT